CCGCCTTCGCCATCCCATTATCCAAGTTCTGCATTGATTACCGGGAGACTGAAAATCAGCGTGTTGGAAGAAGCAGGCGTTTAGACGGAGGCACATATTTTAATTTAGAAAAGCTATACAGTGACTAAGTTCTCGTGAGTGTTCTCGAGGGAGGCTGGAGATTAAAATGTATTTCCCCCCCCCCCCCAAAAAATCTTTTTTCCTATCAAGGAATAACTGGTTTATACAAAGAATTTTATGATAAAAGGCAATAACACAATGTCATTAAAAAACTCTATAAAATTGTTAAAGAGCAGTTTGTTTGCATTTCTCCTGATTGATATGTAAATACAGTTTGAACTGTGTTTGCTCGGTCTCTAGTGCTTAATAAAGAGATGAATTCACCTTTCTGTGGAACAAGTAAACAGACTTTAAACTAAGCCGACATCAGACAAAGTGGAAACGAGTTTATTTAATCGAAACTAAATCTAGTTTAAGAAAGATAAGTCAGTGTACATAATAATCCATTACAGTAATTACACCCACCACCAAATATGTGTTTATGAGGTTGTCGAGACACAATAAAATTCATTTATTTTCCCCGAAGTCTATAATGAAAAGTCACTGGCTGGATCTCTATCGAACATGCTAACTCCAATATTTGGGGGAGGGGAGGGGGGGGATAATATTTCTCGGCTGTATGAATGCCTTTCAGTGCTCCTCACTTTTGGATGTTCCCGTGTTTGAAAGGATGCAAACATTAATTACATCTGAAGGGGAAATGTCGACTTAACCACAGCACTTTCCCCTCGGTCTTGTATTGTACTCCGGGAGAAACTAACCCTAATTTAAAAAATCCGCAGAGTTAACCCTGCTCTCGCTCCCTTCGCGGGAGCTGGCAGCGCTGTGCCACGGACCAGGAATTCCCAACACTTTCTTCTTTTAGCAGAAATAACAGCACTAAGCTCCAGGACTCCCGCCCCCGCCATGCTTAACATGATGTTATAGATCTGAAACGAATATTCTGCGTAGAGAAAGAAAAAAAATAAGGAATATTCTTTGGGTTAGTTGAGAATGTGGCTGTATAAAGCAGGACATAATATAAACAATGGAAGGTCTCGAAATTCCTGTTGACACACGTGATGTTCTCTAGTTAGAAATAAGGGGGGGGGGGGGGCCGATAATCTTTTTTTTTTTCTTCTGTCTATTTCCCTTTTTCTCCATCCAAACTAGCACTTGGTGTCCGAGTAACACCGGCTATCTTGTATAAATAAAAGACTGGAGCTTTCGAAAGCTGCTATTTAAACTGGAGGTTGGGTTGTTTCCATCCCGGGCAAGCTGCTTTCTTTCTCTTCAAAAATATGAGCATTTCATAACGCCTCTGTAATTCAGAGGTCTTTCAATGACTGCGATTCGCTTCCGTGGTTTAACTGAGGGGATCTGGAGAAAAAACCGAAACCGAGCAGCAGATGCGAAGGAAAACATGCGACGAGGTCTTTTAGGATGGGGGACTTCTTATTTTGTTACACTCACAAAAGGGATATTTGGGACCCGAAAGACAGCGAATTACGTGTATTTCGGGCTTGTCCGATACGAGCTGCTTAACTTGGTATGCTTTATATATTTACAGCAAAGTTAATATCTAAATGCCCTGCATTACCCATAATATTTGCCTTCCTATTTGCCGCCCCTCGGTGTCTCAGCCAGGCGCGCACCCCGCGCACCCACGCACACCCACGCACACCCACACACGTGCGCGCACACGCGCTTTCTCTCCATCTCCTTCTTTACAAGCTTCCCAAATCGCTACAGGGGGAAACCGCAAAAAACCAAACAGCGAAAAGCCCACCGAAGCGATCTGCCTTAAACCGAGGCGCAGCCTGCAGCTAGCCTCTCGCCTGGGTGACGAGGTGGACGCGCGCAGGAGAAACTGCGAGGTCGCGCGCGCGCGTGTGCGTGCGCTCGCGGAGGTGGGTGCGCGTAGAAAATGAAATACAGTCTGATAAAGAAAGTTAATTCAAACTACGTGTCGTACACAATAAACTATCTTTTTATTTTGATTATAAATAAGGTGACTGTACTTCCCTTAAAATACAAGTACATAGGAAAACCTGGTAGAAATTATTATTATTTTTTTTACAAGGCATTAAAACTGGACGCTCTTTAAATCGGCCGCATGTTCTATACTGTCAGCAGATTCTTCGTTAATTTGTTTCTAGTGGCGTTAGACTTTTACCTTCTTTCTCCTCCGTGCCTTTGGCATTTGAATTTCTACTCCCGGAATACTTTGCTTTCTCTAGCAAGAAGTCTCTGAGGTACCCCCCGCCCCCCCAATAACCGGGCTAATGAATTTGGACTCGATCCCTTCGCGCTCGAGTTTGTGAATCCCACGCGTTTGCTTGTCACTTTTGCACGCTGAGGACTGATCCTGTATCCCGTTAACTCCCTGGCGCAGCTCCCCGCTGGGAACAGGGTCCGGGCCCTGGGAGGGGCGGGGGCCTTTCAGGGTTTGGCAGCATCCCGGGTTGTTTTTCCATCAAGGAAAAAAAAAAAAAAAAAAAGATGCGGAGAAGGGAGGGTCGGGGGGGGAGGGGGGACCAAAGGGAAATAAAAAAAGAATATTCGTAATGTGTATAATTTATTAGAAGCTTCTTAGGAACTATATTTAAGCCAAATATCTACATAAGTTACAACAGGAAAAGGCGGCGTGCGCAAATAACAAACTGCCAGAGGATTTACGACGGGGCGATCAGTGTCCATAAAAAAGGTGGGGGTTGGTTTGGTTGATTGTATTTTTTTTTCTTTTTCTTTTTACAACAAAATATACAGGCTACTAAAAACTATGGGTTTAGTCCAACTTTTGACAGCATTATACAGCTACAGGTTCACATCAAACGTAAGGAGGAAAATAAAAGCCAAGCCTTTGATGACTCCACGTCTCCATCCGCTGGCCCTGGCGGCGGGGCTGGGAGAGGAGACCGGGGGAGGGGGGATGCTGCTTCTTGTGTCTGGGTGACGCGAATGCGTTTTTTTGGGGAAAAACCACCCCATCCCCCAAAATCTCTATATTTACATGCAAGTCCTACACGCTGGCAAAGTGTACATCTGAAATCCAAGCCTTCGGACCATGCCTAATGATGGTCCCCTTTCTGCAGACTGCTCCATGGTTATTAGTCAGAATTTTTTTTAATACCCCATACAACCACCTTGGGGGAAAAAAAAAAAAAAAAAAAAAAAAACAAAAACAATCAAGAGAAGAAACAAAACAAAACAAAAAAAAGTCTCTCTCTCTGATGGCGGCTTTTCCTCTCTTCCAAGCTCAAGTCTCATAGCTTACAGGACTCCTGGGCTCCCTGCTGCATCTACATGGCAGAACCAGTACTCCCTTTTCAGTCTAATACCACAGCACCTTCAACCTTTGCTTGTGCTTGTTTATTTTGTCCATTTTTTTTATAACAGTGGTCCTGCAAAGCGAGAGAGACAAATGAAACCACACACAGCCACCTATTCTCTCACTCATTCAAAATCTTTTCAATGCAGAACTAGTGGTCATGCGTAGCTCTAAACTGGATCAGTTCCTTCCTCCTCTAATAAATACAGTTAAAAACCTATTCATGAAGCACAAAATTAAGCACTCTGCCCCGCACTGTTTGTCTGGTGGCTCTGATGCTGTCCGAGGCTGTTGCCATTGGTAGCCACTGTGATCGTTGTAGCTGCCTGCTGCTGATGGCTCTGGATAGCTGCTGTGGGTGTGTTGGAGCCTGCTTGGCAGGGCTTGCCATCCTTTACAAGCACTGGCACCGCCACCCTTCTGGGAGACTGCTGCTGCTGGCAAGAGCCGTTCTCCTGTTGCATCTGCTGCTGCGCAGCCTTGTCTTTGGCCTGGCGTTTCATCTTGTAGCGGTGGTTCTGGAACCAGATTTTGACCTGAGTCGGGGTGAGATGTATCATGCTGGCTAAATGTTCCCTCTCCGGGGCGGAGAGGTATTTCTGCTGCTTGAAACGTCTCTCCAGCTCGTAAACCTGGGCCTG